TTCTTTTGTGTCAACCACCCACCCTAAAAGGGACCCTAACAAGACCCTAAAAAGGACCCTAAAAGGACCAAAGGGACCCTAAAAGGGACCCTAAAAATGACCCTAAAAGGGACCTCCGATGTCTAGCGACCGCACCATGTTTTGCCAGTCCATGTACGAGTCGGGGACGCTGGTCGATCCCAGATATAGCGCTGCCGGGGCCCCGCATGGTAAACCCTATAAGGGCAGTTTTCTAAGTTAGCGTCCCTTTGTAAGGCCCCAATACAGTACGGCACCCTTCTCAAAAGACCCCCAACGTGACCCTAATTTTGAAAACTATCCATAAACTTGAAACCCGACAAACCCTACACTGCCCTACACCCTAAACCGGGCTTTAGGGCTTTAGGGTTCATGGGTTTAGGGTTTAATTAAGGTTTGAGACGGGTGATTCTTGATCTCGGAGTTGACGAGACATCCGCAAGCTGGGCTTTCATCCAATGAATAGTCCAGGGGCCTTAATAATTAGCACACGGTTTTGGGGGTTCCTTGTTATAGTTATTATAGTTATAGTAGAATGGAACCCCAAACCCTATCATTCTAAGTATTCAGGCCCCTACATTATGGGGTGGAGTGGAGATACTTCACTCGATCATCGTAGCCCTACGCACTCAATCCCAGATCTTGAACCTGATCCCTGCAGCCTCACCGCAAAAAGGCTATCAAACCCCTCCGCGAATCCCTGAACCTGAGCCTGGGGAAGGTGCTCTGATTAAGCAGGCATCTGCTTCTTCTGCTCTCTGTCTGAATTCTTGCTCTGTCTGTCTTCTTCGTTCCTACACTCTACCCATAGGCCATAGGCCCCATAGCAGTTCCTCTTTGGGGTTCATATTGAGAATCCTATAAGGTAACCCCCAAAAAGGAACTACTATGGGGCCTATGGGTAACTCATATCTAGATGGGTAGGGGGAGAAAAGGGCAGAGCGAGATTAGAGCCGGTCGACACTCGAATACCTCAGACCTAACCAAGGTGTCTAATATAGGGGCTTTGCAAGTTAGAATAGGGCTCCTTGAAAGGGATCCTTGAAGGGTTACTATAAGGTTACCATAAAGGTTCTATAATGTAGGGGGCCTTGATACTTAGAATAGGGTTTTGGGGGTTCCTATAAAGGCTTTCCTAGAGGGTTTTATAAGGGCTACTATAAGGGTTTAGGGTGTAGGGGCCTTAAGAATTAGAATAGGGTTTTGGGGCCCATGATAGGGATCCGCCAAAAGAGTACAGGTAATTTTTTGGGCCCATATTACCCTCATCTCTTACACCGAGATCGCCGACTGGAGCTTCTGTAAGCATGAAACCCTAAGTCCTAAAGGGCTCAGTACTAGATTTAGGGTTTAGGGTTTCGGGTTTAGCGGCTCAGTAGGTAGCCTTTGTTGTTGGACTTTGCTATTGCTTTTTGTTTGTGGGGTTATGTACAGTCCTAGCACTTCATACAGCCGGCCTTAAACAGCGTCATCCGACACATTACCCAAGACCCTAAACCCACAACCGTAGGGTTTTAGGCTTCAGGGTTTCGGGGTCCCTAAGCCCTAAAACCCTAAACTACTCAAAGGCGCAGCTGATGGTCCTGCTCCACGAAGATTTCTACGAGAGCCGATCTCAGCTGCTCCGAGAATGTCTCCTTGAGCCCATGTGCCTAGGGTTTAGGGTTTAAGGTTTAGGGTTTAGGGTTTAGGGTTTAGGCTAAGTACAGCTGTGTTGTGTAACTTAATCTTACGTCAAGTTGTTCTAATCAGCATGGTAATAATCCCACCTAAACCCTAAACTTTAATCCCTAAACCCTAAACTTTAACCCCTAAACCCTGAACTTTAATCCCTAACCCCTAAACTTGAATCCCTAAAACCTAAACTTTAATCCCTACACCCTAAACTTTGATTCCTAAACCCCAAACTTCTTAACCCCTAAACCCCAAGCGTGCCTGGGGTTTTGAACTTGGGCCTGGGAGGATGGGGTTGATGATCTACCCATAGGCCCCACAGTAGTTCCTTGTTGGGCTTCATATTTAGAATCCTATTAGGTAATCCCAAAAAGGAGCTACTATGGTATGGGTAAAGTCTAGGTTTTTGTTTTGCAGCTTTGGGCATAAATGCGGAGGGTTTAGGGTTCAGAGATTTAGGGTTTAGGGCTTTGTGGTTTAGGGTTTAGAGGTTTGGGGTTTTGTGGTTTAGGGTTTAGTGTTTTAGGGTTTAGGGTTTAGTATCCCTTGCGGGCCCCGTAGCAATGTACCAGAATATACCCCAAGACCCCACGGAACCGAAGTATGTGGGGTTGGGAGAGATTCAGTCGGTCTCCGCAGCCCAGCTTCCCTAGGCAGACTGAGCCAAACAGCTCCACTTGACTTACGAGTTATCATCAAGCCCTCTTCAGGGTTTGGGTTTAGGATTTGGGGTTTAGGGTTTGGGGTTTCCATTTGTAGGACGCACATGGGGATCAACACAGCCAGGCCCTTGCGGAAGAGGTGTTGAGTAATCAGGGGTCTCCATTGCACCGTTTGGCCCGAAAGCTCCGGGCGCACTGCCTAGGTGGTCATTGGTATACTTTGTTGTTTGTGTCGCTTCCGGGTTCCTATTATCTTATAACTAGCCAAGAAATGTATCTACGTTTGCTCAGTGGGTTACTCAACAGACTAGCTTCCATGCGAAGATAAGAAGCCTGCAGCCTCAACCAAAATCAATGTCTAAAGGATACTCCACGGGTCATATCCTAGGCTAGGGATTTCTCGAATTTGTGGGCTTAGATATAACTGAAGGTTTAAAGCGTCCATAATCGGTGTCTCTGTGTGTGTGTGTGTTGTTCTAGGCTTTTGCCGGCTCTCAATGCTACAAACAGAGCCTTGTGAGACCTGGACCTAGCCCTAAATCCCAAGTCCCCCTAAACCCGTAAACCCCAAAACCCCGAAACCTCAAATCTTAAATCCTAAACTCCGTGTTTTCCGGCGGGGCCAGGAACGGAAGCCACAAGGACATCTACGATATCGGCGTGCCACCACCTGCCCCGGCAGCAGGTCGGCGCATCTCACGAAGGGGTTTCTGCTGGAGTTGTATTCGGTAATGTGGAGTCTTGCACAAGCCACTGGGTTTGTACAGGCTATTGGGTTGTTGTCATGCTTTTGTGTGTGTTTCCATCCTGTTTTTTGGAGTTGTAATAGATCCGTGGATCTGTCAATTATTATGCCACGCTATTGTGGTTGTTTGTTGAGACGGGCCTGTCGACTTGCAATCACGAGCCTGCGATGAGAGTGTTCGAACTTTTGCGGGCCGCCTACAGGTACGCACACCAGATAGTATACTCAAGGGCTCCTATGTAGTTCCTTTTTGGATAGTATACTATATAATTCCTTACCAAATAACCACAACAGACCCGAAAAGGAACTACATTGGAGCCCCTGGGTAGGATCCTTACCGTGAGAAGGAACCAAAGGATGCCTGAATTCGTGGAGCCCCTCGGGCATCCATGCCTCGCCTAGGTGCTCGCTCATGTTTTTGAGGTCCAGGAGCTTTATAGTCAATTAGAACAGGGCTTTGGGGGTATATGGCACTTTGTTTTATTTATTTACGTTTAGTTATTGGGGCATGTTGTGCTCGATTTACGCTTATTTCTTGGGGTATGTTACAGTTTGTTTATGTTTAGTTATAATACAGAACCCCCTAAGCCCTAAACCCGAAGCCGGGTCCATTTTACAGGCTTCCATGATGACGCTCAGTCAGCAGCCAATCCCAAAGCCTTTAACAATCTTGAGCTGCCTCATATGGAAGCATAAAGGAATAACTGTTCCTGAGGGCTCCTTGCTATAACTATGCCATAATATACCCCCAAGCCCTACGCTAATTGTTATTAAGGATCCCATCGTATATACAGAACCTAGGCCCTAGACCCTAACCCCCCAAACCCTGAACCCCTAAAACCTAAACCCTACAAGAAAATTTTTGCGCGCCTTCCAGGGAGGAAGCCAAGCTTCGAGCCTCCAAAGCCATCCAAAAGACGAAGGGTCGAGGCTTCTTCCACGGGCCTCGTAGTAGGGTTTAGGGTTTAAGGTTTAGGGTTTAGGGTTTAGAGCCTCTGAAGCTTTCAAGCCTTATAACTTATAACAGCTGAGCACCCGGAAAGCGCGAAGCCCCAACCCTAAACCCTGAACCTAAAATCCTAAACCCCGAACTCTAAACCCTAAAGCCTTCATCCTAAACTAAACCTGAAACCCTATGCATCCCTAAACCCTAAACCCTCCTAAACCTTTTCAAAAAACAGAAAGCCAGAGCAAGCCCGCCACCTCCCCAGACCCACCCAATCAGGCAGCGAGCAGCCACTGACGCCGGAACTCTTGGCCGAAGTTCCGCAGCGGATGCAGAAGCAGCTGCTGGGGGAAAGGCTGGGTAGTATGGGGTTTAGGGTTCAGGGTTTAGGGAACCTTAGGGAACCCTAAACCCTAAACCCTAAACCCTAAACCCTAAACCCTAAACCCTAGGGAAGCCCTAAACCGATGGGATTCCTTCCAAGGGATCCTTTTGGGGCTTCTATCCCTAAGTTGCGCTTCCGTGACCTCGAGTCTTTGGCCTGATTCGTCTGCCCCGGAGCAGGCTGTGGAGCCCCATGGCTAGGAAAAGTTCAGGGGCTTTAGGCGTTAGAGGCTTGGCCCTGAAACCCTAGACCCTAAACCCTAAACCCTAAACCCTAAACCCAAATCTTGGGGTTTGAAGGTGCAGGCTGGGTTTGGCACCCTAAACCCTAAACCCCTAAAATCTTGGGGTTTGAAGTTTGAAGGTGCAGGCTGGGTTTGGCACCCTAAACCCTAAACCCCTAAAATACTGTGAAGGGCCAGGGCTGCCCACCCTGCAAAAGCAAACGCCTTAAGTTCTCGTTCGAAAAATCATAGAAGCCCTTCAGCAAAGATGTCGAAGAGAAGCCCCTCACCCGGTTTAGGGTTTAGGGTTTGGTCCTTAAGGAAAGATCTCTTATTGGAAAGCGAAGGCTCTATCCGCATGTGGCCAGAAGTCGTCCGGAGATCGCCGGCAGAATTACCAGCCTCTTGGCACCGCGTTTTGGAGAAACGCTTCAGGTTCTCCAGATTTTTAGAACTACCCTTCTAGAACCCTCATAGACACCCTTATAGATTTCTTTAAGGAACCCAACAAGCAACTGGTCATTCCCTAAGCTGTCTAGAACCTTGAGCTGGCGGCCTCAAGCAACGCCAAAATCGGTTGGAATCAATGGGTGCTTTAAGAAACGTGGCAACTGTTCACTTAGAGATGGCCAGCGTGCCTCAAATCTTGCGAAGTTCTGTCATTTGCGATGCACAGCACTTCTTGTCGAGCTTGCATGCCAAAGTAGTCGTGACTGTCAGCCACGAGGTATGTTGTTGGAGCCGGGGCCACAGCCAGCTCACGCTTACTCGAGTGTTGAGTCTTTCGCTGGTTTGGGTTTGGACTCTTTCCGGCACCCTAAACCCTAAAGACTTTGCCAAAACCCTATTCTAATTACTAGACCCTTATATTAAGGTCAAAGACCTTGGTCGGTAGAAGTAATCTGCCGATTCCTTACGTGGGTACGGGCGCCTCTTGAACATAAATTAAGGGTCCAAGTAGTCTTTATTTATGGTTTTAGGTACCCCCAAATGCCCCAAAGTCCTTAAATAATGGGTACTTGGACCCTTAGGGATATTCTTGAGGTCTTCGGAACGATGTCAGAGGGCCTTGTGGACTAGAGCTCTAGAAGGATTTTTGCACGGGAGCAGGGGTTGTATTCGGGTTGAAGGGGTTTGGTTGGCTTGTACGGCTTTAGGGCATGTCCAATTGCCTGTGTTTGGTGTGGTATTTGTCATCCTTCCGCGTTTGCCGATAAGCCGTCCTTGACGTTTTGGGTCAGGCGAAGCAGCAACTAGGAAACCTTGAACCCTTCAATCCACAAAGCAAAGCCCAAACCCGACACCATAAATCCCTATCGCGGAAGCTTAACACCGTAACATCCTGGAGCTATAACTCCGAAACCCTGAACCCTACACCCTAAAGCCCTAAACCCTAAACCTGTAGACCTCAACAACCTAATATCCTGGACCCTATAACTCCGAAACCCTGAGCCCTGAACCCCCAAACCCGGAACCGACAGAGGCCAGGCAGCTAAAAAAAGGGGCCTTGAAAATTACCCATGCTACTTTAGGGGTTCCTTAATAGTATAATTATGAGTTATAGTATAGTGGGTCCAAGACCCTATTCTAATCATTCGGGCCCCTATCTTATGTTGTACATTAACTGGGTTCTTGTTAAGGGATAATTTAAGTTACCATAATAGGGATCTATAGTAGAAAATATGGTTTCCTTATTATGGTAACTTAAAGTAAATCCCTTAACAAGAACCCAGTTAAAGTCTTAAGTCAAGTGCATCAGACCCTGCACTGACCTAGACCCCAAAAGCCATCTAGGACCCTAAAGTCGTAAACCCCTAAAACCCTCAGACCTTCAGCCCACTGAATAATTGAGGGTTTAGGGTTTAGGGTTTAGGCTAGATTATTCCTTAGGGCTCCTTATTATGCTTACGGTAAGTCTTCTTCTAGCAGGTGCCCCAAAATCATAGAATCCCTAAAACCCTACAGTGACCGTTACGTAGAGCCTGTTTGACGAGCCATCAGACAGACCCTATTCGCCCTATTCTGATTGTGAAGATCCCGGTATCACCTACTTAACGGATGGAGCCCCAAACCCCTGAAACCTAAAGCCCTAAAACCTTCAAGCCAAACCTTGAAACCCTATATGGTAAACCACAAAAAGTTGGAAACCGGATTAAGGACAAATAGTGCTAGGATTCCCTATACATTGCTGTTAGGGATTGAGGCTATTGGGTTTCCAATTTTTGGGCTTCTACTATAAGGCCATGCACCAAAACCCCTAAAACCCTAAAGCCCAGACCCTTTGACTCTACAGACTTGAAGGATGGAGAACTCAGAAGTTCTGATGCTGCTGCAATCCGAGCAGCACCTGCAAGCAAAAGCACCTTGGCTTAGTATAGGGGCCTTAATCATTACATATACTATTTTGGGGGCTCTTTGTTTGACTTATACTACCAAGGAGCCCCATTCTAATTCTTCGGGCCCCTGCATTAAGGGGTTCAGAGTTCGGGGTAAGGATTTAGGACTTCGATTTCGGTTATGGCTTATGGGGCGTAGGGTTTGAGAGCCTGGCAATTCAATTCACGTGGGAGTTTCCAAAAAATTCGGGTACCTCATTTTGGCGTCCTTATAATAAGGATCCTACTATTTAGGGTTTAGGGTTCAGGGCCCCTAAACCCTAAACCCTAAAATTAGGATCCCCGTTTTCGGAAACCCCCACGTCTCAGCATCTTTGGGGTTTGGATGTGTTGAGGCTCAGAGAGCACTCTGCACATGCAGCCGTGCCTAAGTGGTTTAGGTTTAGGGTTTAGGGGTTAGGGGTTAGGGGTTTAGGGGTTTAGGGTTTAGGGTTTAGGGGTTTAGATGAACTCGTAGATCGCAGTGGTACTGCGGCGCAGCAAAGTACTTCGGCGGCCCAGCGGTGAGCTGCGCCAGCTACTTTCAAAGCCCACCAGCCAGCGGGCAGGTTCTGCATTGACTTGGTCCTAGGTAGTACCAGGGAGACAACTTAACCCTAAACCCCAAAAACCCTAAAACCTAAACCCTAAACCCTAAACCCCTAAAGCCCTAAACCCCTCTTAAACCCTACGTATGGCTCACTTTTGCAGGGGACCTTATTGACAGGGTCTATACTCCCAACAGTTCCGCAATCCTAACTCCTACTTGGGTTCGTTGGCAGGGTCTAGCCTTCGGGATGAGCTATACTGGGTTCTTGTTAAGGGATTTAGGGTTTAGGGTTTAGGGTTTAGGGTTTAGGGTTTAGGGTTAGGGTTTAGTAAATAATATGGTTTCCTTATTATGGTAACTTAAGTTAAATCCCTTAACAAGAACCCAGTATAGGGCTGAACCATGAAAAAAACCTTGATACCAATCTAGGGGCCTATATGAATACCTATACTACTGTGGGGGTTCCTTGTTATAATTATACGATCATGGGCCCCCAAAACCCTATTCTAATTCTTAAGACTCCTAAACTGCATGCTCATAAACTGCGGAACCCTCCATCCGACTCTAACTTTAAGTCCCTAAAACCTAAGGTCGTTCTTGCACAGAGGAACGAACCGATTGAACAACGCAAAAACGGACCTAGGCTCCTGCTTGGTTTGGGTTTGGGGTTCAGGGTTCTTCTGGGTTCTAGACATTACCCTAAGGGTCCAAAGGACCCAATAATCAGGTACTTTGGTTGCGGATGGTAGTTGTCTTAATATTTGGGAGAGTATATGATTATTAGGTACTTGGACCCTTAGGGTTAGACAAACTCACAGCCAAAGCCCGAAGCCTTCGTGAAGGGCTTGGGAAATCAAAAAAGCCGAATTTGAGTCACAGAAGCCTGCACCCTACACCCTGGCCATGGCCCCGAAGCCTAAACCGGAAACTACAAACCCGCCCATTCCTCGGAAGGGCCACCGTCAATGCATCCTATCCTATCCTATCCTATCCTATCCTAAACCTATACAGTGCTTAGCAGACGTCTCCTTTTCTAAGGTTGACGAAGCAAGGCGTTTGCTCGAACTGTACAGCAATGTGCCTCGTTCCCACACGATGAAGGTTTCGGGGCTTGGGGTTTAGGGTCAGGGCTTGGGGTTTGGGGTTTTAGGTTCAGGGCTTCCGGGGTCTACAGGGCTGTTGCAGTGCGATCTTCATCAGGGCATGTTGCGATTGGGGTTATCTTATCGTACAGGTAGCTCAACAACTGGTAGAATTTGAATGAACATGATTCTTCGGTGCTTGGACCCTGTGTGCTTAGGTTCAGATCGATTGGTGGATTTGCACGTGTTCTCATCCTCAACCCAGAGAGCCCCCAAAACTACACCTTCATTAAAGGACAGGGTTTTGTGTTTGGGGTTCATGAGTTTAATATACTTGGCCATTCGTCTTTTATGTCGAGTTTCTGATAATACTTTTTTATACTCCTTCACGAAAGGGTCGGCCATTCGTAGTTATGTCGGGTTTTTAATGATACGTTCCTCGCAGAACTTTCATTGTTTTCTTATGCTCATGATGGCTTAAGGACTGCTCCTCCATTGCGCTCTCCGAATGTTGGGGGATGCCCTAAACCTTAAACCCTAAACCGTAATTAGGGGGGGAGGCAACGTTGGAAGTTCGAGCTCACCGCCCGCATCCTGCCGCCAGCACCATGCCGTGCTAAAAGCATCTGTTCCATCCTCATCCTCAAGAAGTTCCGAAAGTGAAGCTGAAAGAGGCCGGAAACTGCAGTATACACTACAAAGAAAAACCACTAAGATTATCAGTGAGTGTGCTTATGCCATCAAGTCAGAATTACCGTACATCCGAAGTCCTCAAGCACGTCTCTTCCACAAACCCCAAGCCTTGAACCCCTCTTAACGTGCTAAGGTGAGTCCGCCTGTGAATCCCGCTGAAATTGCGGGACAACCGCCGGAAGTGCAAAGACAGTACTTTGGAGAGAGGCCTATCAGGGTTAACCTTGGGTCTGCATGGATAGTGGATGTTGTCCCGTCATTAAAGTTGGTATGTATATGCTCATGCATATCTACGCGTATGTGTGTGTTCGGGCTTGCAATTACTTAAAAGAGTCATGTTGATAAACCGACACAGCTTCACAGAACCACAGCAACTCCATGCCTAAGGGACGCTCAGCCATCAGCCCAAGTAGATCCGCAGCTTTAACACAGAAACGGCAGTCTCCTGAACAAGCTGGTCGTCAGACAAGTTCCGAACATTTGGTCATGACCGTTTGTGCTGGCCTCGCAGGATTTCTCAGCGAAGAGACAGAGACCCTTAACGCATCGCAACCCCGGACATGCTGTGCCCGCAACCTTATAAGCTGTGCCACCCGAAACTCCCAAATACCCTCAATGTCCAAACCCTTAAAGGCAAAACCCACAAAGCCCTGAAAGCGTCCCTGAGCCCTAAACCCTAATCCTCAAAGCTAAGTCGGCTGACGGAGAGAAACAGTCCCAAGACTTAGCAGGCTTTATCCTCGAGTGGCCAGATACCAGCCAGAGCTTGCTGGGAAAATCACCGGTCTCTTGGCACATCAAGCTGGAGCCCCCAAAGCCCCAAACCCTAAACCCTAAACGGCCCCAGAGCGCAAACCCAAACCCGAACTGAACCTGAACTCGAAACCTCTTCAAATAGAACTTAACAGCAGTACAGCCCAAGACCCAGAACTGAAAATGCTCAATCCAGACTCTGGAGCCTTTCTGGGCAGTAAGCATATTGGGGTTTAGGTTTTAGGATTTAGGTAGAGTTTAGGGTTTAGGGTTTAGGGGGTTTGGGGTTTAGGGTTTAGGGTAGACCGGAGAGAGAGTATATTTTGTTTGGGTAGTGTTTGAGGCTTCAGGGTTTGGGTTTGCGAGTGTTGGACCCGAGAGCTCCGAGTTTCTCTCAAGGTCGGCGATTTTGTGGCAGCTCCCGGGGTCATATTAGGGGCCTTAAGAATTACCCATACTATTTTTGGGGGACTCCTTATTCTGGGGTTTAGGGTTTAGGGGTTTAGGGTTTAGGGTTTAGGGTTTGGGGGGCTCCTTATTCTGATTATAGTATAATGGCCCCCAAAACCCTGTTCTAAGTACTAAGGCCCCTTTCCTTATGTAGACCTTTATCTATACTATTTTGGGGGTTTCCTTCT